AAAAATGACACCATTTTAAATTTTAAAAAGTGAAATAAACTTTCATAATAGATCAGGTGGCATATATGTAAAAATTGAAGTTTAGATATAAGATATGTAAATACATAAGAATTGAGTGGTATTTATCATGCATGTAAATTATACTTCAATATTTTGAAGGAAGATTTCGGCAAACATCACTAAGGTTGACAAATTGACTCGTCATTTGCGAACAACTTGTGTTTGGCTCAAAATGTAAACGAGTTGAACACGAACAAACGTTTGTTCACTTAAGTTCGGCTCAAATTGGCTATAATATATAGAGAGAGAGAGAGAGAGAGAGAGAGAGAGAGAGAGAGAGAGAGAGAGAGAGAGAGAGAGAGAGAGAAGTTTAATGATTTGTACTTTACTTTCTAGAAAATGTAAATTAAGCATTTACTATATCAACAGAAACGGTATCTCTCGCTGGATAGAATTACCAAGAAGTCGAATTCTATGGCTCTAGAAGACTAGGAAACTCTTGATTGAACAACCTTAGGTTTGATCTGACGTTTACTTTTCTTATAAGTTGTGAATAGGAAACTATTGTTAATCTTATGGTCATGCTAACAAGAATATATCAGAAGCCTTCGACTTAAAAAAAAAAGTTATTCAGAATAAAAAATTATTCAATTTAGATGATAGATGGTAGTTTAGTGGTTGAACACTTGAATAACTTTAACACTGTGATTAATTAATTGTATTATGTGTCCATCAAGTTTGATGATGATGTTAGGGCATTGTTGCTCTTATCTTCATTGTTAAATAGCTGGGATGAACTTGTTACTATGGTGAGAAACTCTTTAGGAAACAAGAATTTGAACTTTGATGATAGTGTAAGGTTAGTGCTAAATGAAGAAGTTTGCAAGAAGACGAGAGATGAAACATCAAATTCTGTTCTGAATGTTGAAGCTAGAGGAAGGAATCTTGATCCAAAGAAGAAAAATATTCAAGTTCGTGAGAGGAAAGTCCAGGTCAGGAAGAGAAAAAGGCAGAGGAGAGTGTTGGAACAACGGGATGAAATATCTGTTAATGAAAGATTGAATAGCTCTAAAGAAGGTTGGTGATGAAGGATTTGATAGAAAATTCTCTACAAATACTTTCACAAATGAAATCAAAGGTGACTCCAATATTTTATCCTTAGATAGTATTGAGTCATGGTGTATAGTTTCAATTATCTCTTTTCATGTTAGCCCCAACAAAGTGGTGTTAAAATACTACACTCAATGTGATTTAGAAAAAATTGTATTTGGGAGATAACAATGTCTATAATATTATTAGAAAAAAGTTTCATGATCAGGGGTTCAGAAGTAAATATGCTTTAAAAAGATTCAGCCATGAGTTCAATGTTCCAAAGACACAATAATAAAATAATATTGTTAAGCGCATGAATCGAACTATCACAGAGCATGATAGAAGTATAAGATTTGCATGCATGCTTGTCAAAATAGTTTTGGGCAGAAGCAATGATCATTGTCGTTTACTAATAAATTGTGTTCCATTAGTGCATTTGAATGGAGGTTTACGTGAAGAAACTTGGAGTGATAAAAAGGCAAATATATTTCACTTGTAAATATTTGATTATTCATCATATGTTCATGTAGATGGAAGATCGAAAAGGAGGCTTGATTCAAAATTTATCAAGTTCACTTTTTGTAGATATGACTCGGATAAATTTGATTATAAATTGTGGGACTATCAGAATCATAAATTAATTAGAAGTAGGGATGTAAATTTCAAAGAAATAAAGATGTACAAAGACAAAACTCATGATCATTCATTAGTTATTTTTGAAGTCCCCTCCGAATATACTGAGATAGAAGGCACCAGTGATCAGGAAGGTGGACAAAGAAAATATGCAAAATATGATGAAGCACGGAAAGTTCCTAAAACACATGTTATTGAATTGAAAAGGTCTAACAAAAGCTCATGGCCGACATAGAGGAATTTTTCTTCATTACATATTCTATTGTCGATTGATAGTAGTGAAGCAGGTGTTACAATGGGGTCATTTAAGTGGATAACTTAAAGAGTGAGATCTTATCATGGATAATGAGATGTATTTATTAATGTCGGATTAGACATGAGAATTGGCGGAACTATTAGATGGAAAAAAGATAATGCATGATAAGTGATATTACAGACTGAAAGAAGAGTCAGACAATGACAAACATTATAAGGTGAGGTTTCTTATGAATGGATTTATGCAAAGAAAGGAGTTTACTACACTGATATATTTTCACTTATCATGAAGATAACAAATATCAAGCATTTTGTTAGTAGCAGTGAAAGATATATATATAGGGCATAAAAATGTGAAGACGGACTCCTTAAATAATTGTATATGGTGCAACCACAAGGAAATGAAGTTCCATGAAAAGAATATATGATTCGTAAATTAAAGAAGAGCTTTTAGGGTTTGAAGCAGGCACCAAGACAATGATGCATAAAATTTGATAAGTTTATATCAGATAGTGGGTATACAAAGTTTCAATCAGATCATTATTATTTCATTAAACATTTCATAATTGTTATATTATGTTTCTTATATATGTGAAAGACATGATGATTTTAGGAGATGATATGAAATAGATCATAAACTTAAAGAAGTAATTCTCAAGGGAGTTGAAATGAAGGATTTATGTTCAACCAAAAAAATATTCGGTATGAGAATCATTAGGGACAGGAGTGCATGTTTATTGAAGTTGTCTCCAACATCATATATTTAGAAGGACTTGCATAAATTTAACAAGAATAAGAAAAAAATGAGTTTGCACCCTTAGATATTCACTTTAAACACTCTAGGGAACATTCTCCAAAGTTTGAAGCTGAGCAAATGCTGATGAAAGAGCCCCTATGTTTTAGTTGTTGGAAGTTTAATGTATATTATGATTTGTAAATGACCAAATATTGCATATATAGTGGGAGCAGTTAACATGCACTTTAGTAATCCAGGAAAAAACTCATTTGGAGGCGGTAAAGTAGATTCTTAGATACTTGAGAAGAACAATCAACAAAGCATTTTATTTTGAATGTGCAGATATTAATCTACTGAGATATGTAGATTCAACTCTTATATGAGATATTGATTTATAAGAGGTGCAATATGTTATAATATTACTTTCGGAACATAGTTGTGATTTAGGTTTCAGATTACAGAAAATTGTTGATCTATCAACTAATAGAAGTTGACTATATTGATATCATCGAGACTAATAAGGAAATGGTTTGGATACAAAACTTTATACAAAACTTTATGACATAACTTAGAAATATCAACTAAATGGAAAGCTTCATATTGACAGTATGGGTGTCATTCATCTAGCAAAGAATGTTGTATTTCATGGACCAAACACATTACTAACCTATCATTTCATTCGTTCACTTCTAAAAGATGATCAATTGTCTTTGGAGAAAATTCATATAGTTCAAAATCATGTGGATATGTTGACTAAGATTGTAGCAGCTGAGAAACAAAAGTTATGCTTAGCTTCAATTGGATCTCAAGAAGGTTGAGATTAGGGCGAGCTACACTACAATTCATAGCTATGAAGATGTTGTAGAATTGGAGAAGCGAGCTTGATTAAAATCAATCTCCAAGTGATCGATTGTTATTATGTAAAGCATGATTGTGCCAATCAATTGATCACTCCAATCCCTCGGTTTTACCGATCTAGCTTGAAGGTGAGTTTGTTGAGGCAGTATGAAATGGTTTCCCCCTTATACATTTTTTTTATTGTATATAGTGTCCCAAAGCCCGAAAAGCAGCACCGTCATGCTGGATATAGGTTCAAAATTGGAGAACACAATACTCCAGCACAAAGAGGGGATCGTTGTAGCGCCCAAATGTAGCGCCCAAGTGTCGAGACCAACAATATTGTAGCACCCAGTGCATATTCAAAACTCGACAGAGCGACGTTGCAACCGTAACCGTTTTTCGGGAAGTCTCTATTTATTGTGTCGTCTTTGTCGATGGGTTGAATGTGGACTTTGAGATTTCTCTTGTGCAAAGGAGACGAGTGTCATGAACTGTTCCAAAGTGTAGAGAGGCTTGAGTATAGTATGCTTTGTATGGTACTCCCCATTTTATTCATAATGGATTTTTAGTGTGGTGTGGCTCCGCAATTCTTCCCATTCTTGTATTTTTTTTTTACGTTAAAGCTTGTGCTATTTAAATGTTTTGCGGTTTTCTTTTTTTATCGAAGAAAATGAAAGTATGTCCAGAAGTCATAATTTGAAGGACATGCAATAGTTAATTAATCCAAATCAATTTCCTAAAAGTGACAGCCCATGCACAATAACTATTAAATAAAATTTGGGTGTTTTACATATCTAAATACATAAGAATTGCGTGGTATGTATGTAAATGCCCCAGAAACTCTTACAAAATTATCAAATCTCAAATTACCTAAGTAATTAGATCATATATTTTTAAATAAAATTATTATTGCATGTTATAATTAAAATAATAGATGTCAAATATCTATATCATATCATATTTGTATCGATGATGCTTCATGTGAACTCATTATATGAACAAAAAAAATGTATAGATATAGCTTATATTTAAGACTAAGAATGTTAAAATTAAGTTTTGTTTTTTTCTTCAACATTCTTTCTAATTACAGGAGCAAACTGAAACTATAAATATATTATCAAAATATTTTGTCACTTCTAATGAATTTAACATTATATATATACCACATAATTCTTATGTATTTACATATATAACTTCTCAAACTTCCATATTTACATTTATAATGTTTTGGTGTCATAAACCAATGCATGAAAGAGCTCACCTAAAAAGTAAGTAATAATGATATTTCTTATGTGATGTTAATGATTTGGACGTCTTGTTTGTAAATATGGAAATTTCGGTGTAACATACATTAAAACATAAGAATTGTGTAGTATGTATGTAAACTATATATAACTAAGGGTGGGTGAACAAATTCCCTTACCTCATTAAAAGGATCCTTTTTTTTTTATTTAATCTTCAACAAATGAGATAGATTCCCCCAGTTTCCACCCCTTCATACATTCTATCAATCCATCTGTTCTTTCTTTTACAATTTTTGTGTAAAATCCTTAACAGAATCAAAACAAACGCAGCTAAACGCCTACCAAAATTGTGAATTTTCTACACAAATCACATTTCTATCCCATCACCAATCACATGAAAACAAAGGGAAAAGGAAAAAAAAAGGCTTCCCTTCATCTTCAATTGAGGCCAGCACCATGAGAAGCAAAGAAGAGGAAATCTGGGAGCTTTACTCCAGCAACCTGCAACCAGTTATCAGCAGCTTGCAGCAAGAGGGTTTTGAGCCGGCCGTCGCTTTCCCGATTCCATGTGGAACCTTTGAACTTGTAGGAAGAGAGCCCGAAGATGGGAAGAGAGATCTTCGGGGCGCCGCTCCCCTGCTCACAAGTAATGACAGGCCTGGCAGCATTATCATCGTCTGCATATATGTTGTGGAACAATATTATACATGAATAATAGAAAAACTATAATATCTTCTCTTTCAGATCATAGGACTTAATATGATTAGAAAAAAAGGAAGATTTACATCCATACCACTAAATTCCTATGTATTACTTATCTGACACGTATAATTTTCGTAATATGCCATCTAACCTATGCATAAAAAGGTGTATTTCGCTTTTATGCATGTAAAGATAGTTGGAGTGGGGCCAAAGAAGAGATAATAAAAAATAATGATATACATATCTGAGACTGTTTAGTCGATAATATTCTTCCTAAAAAATAATAATAAATCTTGAGAAGCAAACACCAGAAGAAACAAGCCTAGCTGGATGAGATATGGAAGCATGATGAGTAATGCAAAGATAACTGAATTTCTACCAACACTAGTCTAAATGCAATGTGAGCAAGAAAAAACTTATTATTATGGTTATGAGTTTTATGACAGCTAGTATTCAAACCAACATGTCCTGACATTTCTCGACCCCCTAAACCCAATGGCTAAGGATGACTGGTCATGGGTGTGATGTTATGGGGTGGCTATGTGATACAAAGAAGCCGGAAGATAGCGTAGTCTACCATAAATTGGGATTGCATACCTTCCAAAGTAGGATACAGCTTGGAGATGTGTATTTAGAGATAATGAATTCCTCATTTGGCTTCTTTCAAATAACCAAATCAGTGATGAAAGGGCAGTACTAAAACAACTCATCTCATTTTTCTCACGATGTGTTATATACTTTGGGATCCCATATCATTTTGATGAAGATGAAAATAATCTGATAGAGCAAACTGCAGCCATAAGGTATCACTTATCAGAAAGTATGTGGAGAGGAGAATATCCCACATCCTTTTCCTATAGTCTAGAAAAATAAAATATAAGCTATTAAAATCTCGAGAATATTGAGTAACCAGAGAAGAAGAGCAAGACAGGATATGGTTCCTATTTTGAAAATTTAGCAGTGTCAGTGATATTTGAATGAGTAGAATTATGATGTATTTTGTCATATGATCTTACAAAAAAGCAAAAGGCTTTCTACTAAAAGAGATAATTGCTGCACTCAATTTGATGTTGGTAGCCCTCAAGAAGAAGGGTTTTGAATCATTCAAAGTAGGAAGCGATAACAAAATTGTAATTTTGGGAGAAAAGAGAAATAATTATTCCTCTTCAATTCTATAAGAACATTTACAATATAAATAGTAGAGGAAGACCATCAAATTAGGAAAGCCATAAAATCACTCATAAAATCGCAGTGTTAGAAAAAGGAAACATAAATCAAAACTTACCAACAATATTATACTCTAAGAATAGAAAATACTAAAAAAAGAAATTATTAAAGACCGACATTCCTAAAAAAACAACACCCCCCTCAAGTTGGAACATAGATATTTATTGTGCCCAACTTCCTTATAAAGAGCTCAAAATTAGGTCTGAAAAGTCCTTTACTGAATATATATATGTGTTATTTGTTGCTTTGTAATGATAGAAGACAAGCAAATAGCTCCACAATAAATATTCTATTTTATGAAGTGTCAGTCAATCTCCACAAGCTTGGTGCTACCAAATTGCATTGGATTTTCTGCAATGGTTATGGTAGCTTTATTGTCACAGTACAACTTTATGGGAAGTTTATCACAATCCGTAGCACTTCAAGAGTTATCTTTAACCATAACATCTCACATAATTGGTCATAACCCTATATCTTGCCCCGTCACTACTCCTAACAACCACATTTTGTTTCTTACTTGGCCATGTAACCACCAAATTTCTCCAAACAATAATTACAATATATGAATGTCGATCTCTGTCAATAATTGAGCTTGCCCACTTAGCATTTATATATGTCCGTATGCTTTGTTGTGTGTTCTTCTTAAAGAGTAAGCTCTTCTCTAGTGTACGTTTTAGATATCTGAGAAACCTATTAACAGCTTCAAGGTGTCTCTTATAGCACAACTGCATAAATTAACTTACCAAACTCATAAAAAATACAACATCTGACCGTTTATGTGATAAGTATATCAACTTTCCAACCAACTTTTGATACCGAATTGTATTCACTAGATCACTTTGCTACCCATTTCTTAGTTTTTGATGGAGATCAATTGAAGCAGCATGCCTACACCTACTCATCTCAGTTTCCTTGAGAAGATCAACAACATATTTCTGTTGAGAAACAATAATCCCTATTTTCAATCGAGCAACCTCCATACCAAGGAAATATCTCTGAGATCCTAAGTCTTTGATCTCAAAAAATGATGAGAGAGAATTTTTCAAGCGATTCATTTCATGTGTCATCTCTGGTGAGAATTATATCACCCACATACACAATTATTATGGCTATCTTCCCATAATCTAAATATCTAAAAAATATTGCATGATATTCTTGCCCTTGAGTATTACCCTTACCATTAACAAATAGGATAAATTTCTCAAACCATGCTCTCGGCGACTATATTCACTAGATCACTTTCAATTCCATCTCTCAATTTCTGATTGGGATTAATTGGAGTGTCAGCAGGCCTACACCCACTCATCACAATTTTCTTGGGAAGATCAAAAACATACTTATGTTGGGAAGCATCAATCCCTTTTTTTCTATTAAGTAACTTCCATGCCAAGGAAATAACTCAAAAATCATAAGTCTTTGGTCTCCAATACTGATGAGAGGGGTTTTCAAGCGATTAATCTCATATGTGTCATCCCCAATGAGATTTATATTATCCTCATACATAATCAGTGTGGCTATCTTCCCATCATTTGGATTTCTAAGAAATATTGTATGCTCTCATTGCCCTTAAGTATACCTCTGACCTTTAACAAACATGGTAAATTTATCAAATCATGCACTCGGTGACTGCTTCAACCCGTATAAGGACTATTTAGTTTATACACCTTTCTACCAAATTTCTCGTTAAATCCTGGAAGTGCATCCATATATACTTTCTCTTGCAAGTCCCCACTGAGGAATGCATTTTTTATATACGGTTGTTGTGAGGGCCAATCAAGGTTAGCTGCAAGTGACAAAAATACTCTTATGGAGTTTTGTTTTGCGACCGGAGCAAATATCATTAAGTAATTAATGACATATGTTAAAGTGAATTCCTTAACAAACAACCAAGCCTTGTACCATTCTAGAGAGCCATCAGAGTTGTATTTAATTGTAAACACCCATTTGCACCCTACAGTTGTCTTCCATATAGGTAGATCAACCAATTCCCACGTGTAATTTTTCTGAAGAGCCAACCAATTCCCATGTGCCATTTTTCTGAAAAGCCAACCAATTCCAGGTGTCATTTTTCTCAAGAGCTTTCATCTCCTCGAAAACAATCTCCTTCGACTTAGAAAATTTATGAATATCCTACACATTATAAGGAATCTCCATACAAGACAATTATGAGATAAAAGCACAAAAATAGGTGAGATATTTTCACAAGACACATAATAAGACAATAGATGTTTGGTGTAAGATCTCACCTCATTACAAGCAATAATGGGAAAACTAGAATCATTAAACTCCGTATTATAACAAGACTCGGATTCAAAACTAGAAGACTCAATACTCGAAGATAAAATGGATTGAACATAGGGTAAAGGCTCAGTGAGGACATTACTTGGTGGGTTTATATTCTGGATAATGCAAAGGATTTGTATACCCTTTCTTTTGAGTTATCCATTGGTGCAAGTAAACAATATCGAATAATACCAATGTCATAGTGTTTTTTCCTGTTTATACTTTATTAGTTACTATAGGATCATGAACATTTTAGAAGACACTGCAGGTTCAATACTTAAAAGACTCGATTCATTTTCTCTTAATATAGTATAGTTTGATTTTTCAAGTTGAACAGTCGAGGTTGAGGAATTATTGTTTTGAAAAGATCCTGAAAAACAATTTGAATTTTTTTTTGCCTCCCTTGAAGATGAGGTGAAAAACAAGAGTTGTAATTCAAAAAAGATGACATCCATGTGAACAAATATTTTTTAGAAAGAGGATCAAAATATTTATGTTGCTTTTAACCAGGAGAATAAGCAACAAACACACATTTTTTTGGCTCAAGGTTCAAGTTTTCTTGATTATGAACTTTAATATGAGCAAAAATAGCACAACCAAATATCTATAAATACAAAGAAGATGAAGTCGATTTGTTAAAACATTAAAGGTGATCCAAAATTTAAAAGCTTATTGGTTGTTCTATTTATAAGGAATGTAGTAGTAAGAACGACTTCACCTTATAAATATTTTGGCAAAAGATTTGTAAACAGCAATGTCTGAGCTACTTCCAAGAAGTGTTTGTTTTTTCTTCAAGCATAACCATTTTGTTGTGGAGTGTTGACACATGAATTTTGATAAACTATTTCTTTTTCAATAAAAAATTGACCCAAAAATAATTTTAAAATGCTCTCGTCTATTATCACTTCATAATATTTGAATATTTTTTGAAATTGTGTCTATAGCATGGTGTAAAAATTTTTGAAATAATCTATACTTTGGATTTTTTTTCTTTAAATAAACTCAACTCAACATTCTGTGATCATCAATTAATGTCACAAACCATCTTTTTCCAAAATATGTAAGATTTTTAAATAGAAGCCAGATAACATTGTGAATAAAAGTAAATAACATAGTAGGTTTGTATGTTTGGAGTGAAAAAGATGCACATTGATATTTAGCAAATTGAAACTTTTCATATTGAAAAGATATTTTTTATTCTAAAATAAACTGGAAAACAAGTATTTTAAATACTAGAAACTAAGACGACCTAACCTATAATACCATAACAAAATATTATTGTCTTTGGAAACAAAACTATAATTTAAGCAAATACTTTGTCGTTGTTTATTTCAATTAATTCCATCATCAAAATAATAGTCCATTATTTTCCTTCGCACTGCCAATCATCCTCCTAATAGTCAATTCTTAGAACTTACAATAAGAAGAAGTTAGCTTTACACAAATAATCAATGGTAATTTACTA